GCCACTAGGGGCTCGCTACTAGGAGCAAGGATGCCACTATAGGGGCTCCTGGCATCGCTACTAGGAGCAAGGACGCCACTAGGGGCTCGCTACTAGGAGCAAGGACGCCACTATAGGGGCTCCTGGCATCGCTACTAGGAGCAAGGATGCCACTATAGGGGCTCCTGGCATTGCTACTAGGAGCAAGGACGCCACTAGGGGCTCGCTACTAGGAGCAAGGACGCCACTAGGGGCTCCTGGCATCGCTACTAGGACCAAGAAACATGTGTATTAGACATCCGGAGGCCCCCAGTTCCGACCCGTCGACCCCGCGACCAGGGCGACCAGGGCGAAGGTTCGGGGCTCTCCGTCGACTGACGCGTTTGCACCTCCCACTCTCCCGCTTGGGGGGCCAGTAGGTTGGAGGCCATTACTATTAGAAACCAAGAAAAATTGCCCTTCACGCGGACCCACGGTTCTGGGGCTGAAGAAGACCCGCCTTCAGCGTGCCGACGCGCCGAAAAGCCGAAGACCTGCCAAAGACACACGGAGGAGTCTTTGGACTCTTTCCGCTTTGGACTCTTTGGACTCTGGTGGTTTTGCCAGGTTGATGGAAGATGGACGATTTCAGGAGCTCAGCTTGCCGCCCTTGGAGATGAAGGCGCGGAGGGACGGTGACGGGAGGTCCCGTCCCCGCAACGGGAAGGTCTTGGCATTGGGGCTCGGTCCCATGGGTTCTTGGTGTGGGTGCATCGCTTTGGGTCTCACTGGACGCAAAGATCTCTGTTCGACTTCGATGGAGAAGTCGATGACTTGTGAGGGACCGAAGGGTCTCTGTTCGACACATCGTGCATCTCAGAGGTCGAGACCGAAGAAGAGCTGGATGCTTGGGTGTCCCTTCTGGCGGAGAAGTGCCCCAGCTGCAGGTGTTGTGTGTTGGGACCACAGGTGTCGTAGCTCGACTTCCTGTTTGGCAACCGAGCTGTGTTCGAAGTCGGATGAGCTAAAGGAACGGATGACCATGGCACCCCACGGCGTGAGCTAAGTCTGAAGAGATAGCGGATGATGTGGTGTGATGATGTGGGATGTCGGATGATGTGCCTCTGACTAAAGGCTCATCTCCATGATTCTATTTGTTTCCCTTCTCAGTGGTTTTAGGGTCGCATACTTTGCAGACTCGAGTCGCCTGCGTTTTTTGGACAGTCGGGCGTTCCCTTACAAGGGAGTCGACGAACAGGTCGGTCGCCTTCGACACCCGTCTTGGTCGCCGCAGCCTTCGACGCCGAAAACGTCGCTGAAAGTCTCCACCTTTTGGGATCGAAGACGGTTAGCACTTAGAGCTGAGCTTGACGGTTCCGGAGACTGGCGGAGTTTGAGACAGAAGCAACTACATTACATATATGCATATATATAATATTTTTATACACATACCCAATTCATCCAAATTCTCGTGGTTTTGGGCACCCTTTGCCATCTTCCGCTCTTTCCCTGTTTCGCTTCTCTCGCCGGCCGTTCCGAACCGGGCGCCGGCTTCGCATGGCACAGACATGGCGAAGCATCGCATGGTGTCCATCTCTCCGTGTCCGGCCGGTTTCCAGGAATAACATCAAGCTCAAGGATGGGAAGCATGCCATTACCTTGGCCTAAAGAAAGGCCGAGCTTGAGAAGTTGGGAGTGACCCATGGGTGACCTTTGTAGGGTTTCTTTTCTAGTCTGAATTTGCCAAAGTCCTTATCACAGGGATGATGTCCTGGACGCGTGATGGAAGGGATAAGTGGTCACCCCCTGAGCAACAAGTTTCACCTGCGGTGAGTTTCACTGCGCATGGGGCTGGTGACAAGGGTGTTTTGCAGCTTCAATCGGATGCTCACCGGAAGTCGGCAAGGCACAAGAGGCACAAGGACTTTGTTGAAAAAACTCGTACGGGATTTTGGTCTTCCAATGGTTCATTCCTTTTGGCACGATGGCGCAACAAGGGCTGTCCCGGAAAGAAGAAGGTGAGACAGAAGTTTTTGTTCTGATCACTCTCTGGATTGACACCCGCGAGAAGTTGCAAAATGCCTTGCCCATAGCTAGGACATCAAGTTCTGTTTGCAGCAGAACCAAAGCTTTGCACTTCGGTGTCGAAGGTGTGAACCACCCCGAATTTCTTCGCCAACTTTCTGAAGGCCTCAAGACATACCTTGAAAGCACAGTCTTTATATTCAGATTCATTATCAGGGCAGAACATGGTAGCCGACACCGCTGGCCTGCAGAAGTCAGGGCTCGCTGAGCTGTGCTGGCAGGAATATGGGCTTTCTCTGAAACTCTAAGCGTATTGGTATTGGTTCAAAACAGAAGATCCCATCCAACCACGAACATCGAGATCATGGGACTTCAACCATCGTCGACGCTTTTGATCCAACGAACTCCCGGTCCCAACGCATGATGTTGAGAAAGCTCCCGACAAAAGAGAGGTTCTGCATGTCTCAAACCCAGACGTGACAGGCACATTCTCGTGCTCGTGCGCCAGGGTGAAACAGACGCGCGAGCGCGGTGGGTGTCCATTGATCAGGGAGATGGCAGAAGGAGCCACCCGGAGCAATCTGGAGCAGCTGAAGGGTGTCAGTGAGCTCATCAACCAAGCTGCAAACGTACGGAAGTGTGTGGGGTGGATGATTTTGATGATTTTGACAGCCCTTTCTCGCGTTTTTTTCCGACAGTTTTGGGGCGGAATCCGTAGGACATGCAGAGCAGTCAAGCCTTGTCAAGCACTCCATGGAAGCTTTTGCGCTTGCCCAGAGAAGATTGGTGTTCTCGCTGCCAGCTTTGCCAATTAGCTTAGAAAGACAAGCGGCTTGACAAGCGTAGACTTTCATCCAACTTACACATGCCCTTTCTTCTTTCACTGGTTGAAAGGATCTCCCAAACATGGACGAGGACATGAAGACATGTTTTGCCCTTGTTTCTTCCAGCTGCAAACCTAACAAGCCCCCAAATTGGAGACATGCTGAGCGCACACACACACACACACTTACCGCGAATATATATATATATATACACATGATTACATACACTATAAACGCATGTACATAAAACATATTATTGTTATTATTGTTATAATTATATATATATATATTTGTACAACATGAATATTATGATTTCATTTCTCATCACTGACCACAGGTTTCTAACTCAGATGCAGGTGCCAAGGCCAAGCCTTTCAACTCAGAAATTGCACTGCTTGAGCTCCGTTAGAAGCATGGAGATGTCAGAGAGTGATGTCGCTGCACTGCTAGAGGCTGCACGGGACTCTTTCATGCTTTACTTGCATTGTCTCCATTTCTTTATTGTCATCTACGCACGTGTATACGGGGGGTTTAATTGATCAAGAATCTACATTAGGTGAGCACTCCCATCTGCTAAACCGCGTAATCTTTTTTCCTTCTCAGAAACCCTTTTGTTCGCAAACGCCGTTTGGAGCTACCAAGTTGAAGAGGACCAGCATAGAACATAGTCTTTAAGCGATCCCAAAGGGCATTTCCTTGACGTGCTTCATGCCGGCCAGCGACTCGTAGTATTGTCATTTTTTTGCTATTCAAGGCATAAATAACCAAATGTCATTCAACACGGTGTGTGTCACGCTACGAGGCTCTGCAAGCACAAGACTATGCGCTGCTGCCACCACTTTCGGGCGCCATCGATCGGACGCAGGGAGACCCGCGCGGGGTAGTCTGGCAGCTGATGCGATCGATTAGGGTGGTATACAGATGGCAAATTTCCCTTTGAATGTTTCGGGATTGGCTCAAACCCTCATGCCCCGTTGGTTTACCGAGGTGGTTAGGATTCTTTCCTGGGGAATCATGGGAATCTAGGCTTTTTTCCAGCATCGGCGTGGAGTATCAGCTCCTTACCTTTGCTCGGCTCCTTACCTCAGCCGTCTCTCTTTGGGCACAATGGGCGCTGTGATCTACCTTTGGATTTCACCTCGCCACTTGGATGGCATCCCGTGCATCCCCCCTTCAAGGTCTCCTGACCACTTGTCGTCCACTCGCCCTCAAAAGGGCGGTCTGTTGCATGAGCGGCCCCAAAGGGCTGGCCACCTTGTTGATTGCATCCGTCCCGCTTCTTGTGGCCGCCACTCTTGGAGACCACGCTGAGTCGCCCCGTTCTCTTTCAGATCGCTTTTTCCATCGCTTTCTCTTCGAATCTTCTGGCCTTCCGCAGTCCGAATCTTCTAAAGTTGCGCATATCAAGAGTTGGCTAGCCTTCTTGGCCTCCTTTGCCTCCTCGCCTTGATTGGTGCCTCCTCTCCTTGTGAGGTTCAGCTGAGGAAGTTCGCTCGAGAGGAGCCCAACGTGCTGGGGATGCAGGGCACGTTGGGCCAAGGCAGTTCTTCAAGATCTCACAGCCGCCTTCAGCCAAGCTGCGGTCGGACTAGGCATCGAACGGCCAGCGCCGGTTGGAACTGCTTGTGAGTAACTTTAACTTCAAGTTGCTCCCACAATTTGAGGGATCTGTCAGCCATTCCTTCCCTTCTATGGCAGAAGGGAACGGGACAAGGTGTGCATCAAGGTCCTGTGACCTCGTCGGGACCGGGAGCTCCCATCCTACCCCTACCCAGCCTTGGGGCCATGCTGTGCAGAGCCAGCAGCTCCCAAGGAGCGGAGCGTCGTCGCAGGGCGCAGCAGTGGTTGCTCGAGCCGCTCGCGGCCGTCAGACGAGGTCTCAGGGGCTTCTGTGCATGATCTGCTGGTGAGGTCTCAGCACCAGCTCTTCCGTCAGCGCTTGGCCTTTTTGACTTGGGGGTCCGACCTGGTCATCAGAGCCTCTCAATCTGTGCATCTGATCGAAAGGCTACCAGCTGAAGGCTGAAGAGGCCCAAGGTCTTTGTCAAGAGAGCCCAAGCGAACTCGTTGTTGCCTCTCCTCAACGTGTCAGACCTAGAAGGCACGCAAGCTGCTGGAGTCTCGCACCCCAGGCGGAAGCAATATACGATCTGATACTTAGGGGCTTAGGGGTGATTACCTCGCTCAAGGAGGGGTTGTTCCAAAGAAAAGCAGGGCAGGCCCGCTTGTGCAAGCATGCTTTGCTAATCTTTATACCTCAAGGAGACCATCTTGGGGTGGAATTTGCTAAAGAAGGTCATCGAAACTACTTGAGGTCAAGAGGCCTGCTTCAAGCGGAGGATGGGATGAGGACGGGTTCTCCGTTCTTTGGACAGCCCCTTGCTGCAGGCTTGATCATTCCATATCCATTGTTTGCACCAGAGCTTTCTGAACGACACCCTGGTCACCTTCCGCGGGCTGTTGAAAGACCGTTGACTTCCCAGCTGGCATACGAGAAGGCGGGGTTCCTGCGGTCTCCCCGCCAGGATGTCTTTGACCGCCCGCCCGCGTTGCATGGGAAAATCAGGTTCCCGGAGCCGCTTTTGACGCTCCTTGGCGGCCGTGTGCGAGCTGCAGTCAGCGAGAACAAAAACGCACATGAAGAGTGACATAGTATCCGCTGATGCCTCGTGTGTGGCTGCCTTGAAGCCGACAGGGTGTAACGGAAAGACACATGGATTTGAGTGCTGAGATTCCTTGATGTCAATTTTTCGGGGTTTGCCTGAAGAACATCATGAATAAAAGGAACCAGCACTTGAGATTTCTGCCAAGAACTTCAAACAATTTGTGCCAGTCACATTCCGTTTCAATCGGCCTTGATGGTTTGGCGAGTCGCTGTGAAGGGTTCCCCTGGCTTGTGGAGTGACCTCCAGAGGTTTTGTTTTACCATGCATGGGCCAAAGGACACATGTGACGCGAAATCATGGTTCTCACCTCCAAAACCCATGGGTGGATCCGACGCCGTTCCTTTCTTCCAAACCACGTGGGATCCGACGTGGCGGTTCACGTTCTGGGTTCCCGACCCCCGGACCCGGGACCTCCGGACCCCGGCGTTCGACCCCATGGCGGAGCCCGTGGAGGCCGCGGTCGGGGGTCCTTGAGGTCGGTCCTGGAGGCGTTGCAAGGCAGGGAACGCCCCAAGCTCAGCGGAGCTCGCGCGGAGCTCGCGCGGCGAGGCAGAGCTCGTCAGGCGAGGGGCGAGGCAGAGCTCGTGAGGCGAGGTTTCGGGTGACGTCGCGATGTCCCGGCTCAGGATGGCAGCCCGAATTTCCCGAGTTCGAGAATGACACCATGGGCCGTAGCTTCTCGCAGAACAAGGCGCCGTGAATCCTGAATTCAGGTGTTGGAACGGGTTGTTTGTGGGCAGAAAACGAACCGCGGCCCTGTTGAAGACATACCGTCCTGTCACTGACATTGATCTGAAAGGTTTATCGCCTTCAAAGGTGCGGTTCAAGGTTCGATCTGTTTGCTTTGGGGGTGTCCGAACTGACCTGTAACAGTGGGTAAACAAGAACATCAGAACATCACTATTTTTGGACAAGGCCTGCAACTGAAACATCATCATCCACTGGGCCCAGGGTGTCTGGGATATATCCAATGTGTACGTCTCTGACCGATCGCGGCATAGCCCAGTCTGACACCGTTTCTGACACCGGGCGACCGCGGCGAGGTCTCGTGGCTGGATGATGCAGAAGATCACCTCGCCGCGATTTGCAAGGAGAACTGGGTTCCTAGTAGTAAGGCCAGGAGCCCCTAGTAGCTTCTTGTTCCTAGGTTCACATTTCATCACATTTCAATTTCAATGATGTTTGTGTATACTTTGTCGTCATTTCCTTTTCTCACGTACCGTAACTGGTAACTGAATTTCTCACGTTGATGAGTCGATTTGCTCAAATCATTGCCCCAGAAGGTTGAAGTTTGGTCGGGGAAGAACGTCCTGTAAACACCAAAAAGACCTTAACCGGGATGGTGATTCACTGAAATAGCTCGGAACTGCTATTTTTTTTTTCGCACTTTGTTTGTAGATCTGGCAGGAAGTAGGAAACCAAGTGCTTTTCACGCAACCAAGCCAAAATAGGTTGTGTACTGTTCTTGATGTTCTCCATGGCCCACATTCACCCCTGTCCGCACCCAATATGACAGTTTTCCGCGGCAGGAATTAATTGACCTTGCCGAAGTGGTTGCAGGGGTGACGCCCAGTCTGGGGCTTCCTTCTAGTGGAAGGACAGACTGTGAGACGGAGCAAATGCTCATCTGTCAGTGGGGAAGTAGTGGAGAAGAGGGCAGCTTTCGTCAGGTCAAAGACTTCCACACTTGGAAAAAAGGAGGGAAGAACGAAAGCTGCGGGTCAGTCCTGATCTGAACAAAGCTGCGGGTAACGAGCGCTTGTTGGGATGCATGGGAAGGGTTGGGTTTAGGGTTGTGGATCACATGGTTGGACTGCAGATGGACGCCGATGATGGACTGCAAACTCTACCTTCCAGATCTTCAAGTGCCTCGAATCTGCACCATGTCGTTTTTTGGGATGCCTTTGCTCACATGGCAGACAGGGTTCGGCTGCATGGCCCCATGACTTGTACCTGCCATGTGTTTTTGAGGACCAGAGTGATGGCACATACTGCAAGCACGGAGGAGGACAAGAAGCAGCTCGATCCCCTGGCATGATTCTTTTGTTTTTTCGCCCTCCACAGCAGAAGTGTACAGATAGGCTTAGCGGCTTACTGTATTTTTGCGGCTTATCTGTGAGTCTGAGTATGTAAACAGTGGACACTTCGTCAGTTTTGAACACAGCCTGCCGAAATGGAAAAACCACTCTGTTCCACCTGTCTCCACTCGTCTCGCCCTCCACACCAAATCCGGCCCCGCCCGGTCAGGCCTTACCTGCCCAAGGCATCAAAGTCGAGGCCCGTGTCCTCCAGGATCGACTCCTCTTCCGGGAGCAGCGGAAGGCCGGAACCCGTGGTGCACGGAAGACGGGAGAATCCCGGTGAAGATCGGGCGGATTTGGGGCTGCTGTGAAACAGGCAGGTTTTTGATCAACGCGTGCTGATGCGTTTCGGGACGTCCCTACCTGGCGCGTGCGTACGCGCGGCGTGCACCAGCCCTTCCCCCCTTCTGATCGGTCGCTGCAGACCTCGTGGAGATGGGATGCAGACCTCGTGTGCACACAGGTCTGCATCCTGCACATCGTGGGGGGCGCGGAGCATGGAACTCTGATTTTGCATCGTGCCGGTCTTGACACTCCAGTCCAATGTGAGGACGGGGGGAGGGGGGTTGAGTGGTGGAGTGGTGAACCGCGACATGGAACACTTCTGTGGTCTGGTCTGTCTTGAAGCAAAAAGAAAGGGGATTCGAAACACACCCATTCAACATTTTAACCTTGGATATCCTTGGGGGACAGTTTGCCAGGCATCTCAGAAGGATCGACACCTGACGCCTGTGTTTTTTTTTGTTTTGTTTTGTTTGTTTTTTTGTTATTTTTGTTTAAGTGACTTGTTTCTTTTTGCCGTTTCTTCAGTTTGACACTGAAGTTGGAATGAGAGGAAGTACCCGAAAAAAAACACTCTTGCCGGAGCTCATTCCGCTCCAGCTTTCCGCTGCAGTTTTTCCCGCCAGGATGGCATGACTTTAGTTTTCCGACACGACATTTATGACTACAGCTCCCCGGCGAAGCAGCGAAGCCGTCGGAGACAGTCCCTGTATGGCCCCAAGACAGTACCTGGTTATACCCTAGACTTGGACTTGCCAGAAAAGTGGCTGACCTGGTTTTGTGTGATCCTTAGTAAAACAAGGGTTGTTCGGCAAATCTTACGTAGTCAATGAATGGTGGTTGGAATCCCAGGGTATACTGCGGCGCGGCATGGGCCAAGACAAGCCAGTTCACATACTCATACTAAAGTAGTCAAGTGGCGTGGTCTTGGGATATTGGACACCTGCATCAAAGCTGCATAGCCAATGGGGGCCGACCCATTCTAGGCAATGTGCTTAGGCTAGATACCAGATTTTGCCCAGCGCTCATATGGCATTGGTAACATACATGGGCCTGTAGTATTGCAGCGGAAGAGCAAACACAATTTCCTATCCAGTAACAAGTGCATCCCTATTAGTAACAAGTGCATTACTACTAGTAACAAATGCATCGCTACTAGTAACAAATGCATCCTTACTAGTAACAAGAAGCTACTATATACACTGGACGACACACAATCTATCGCAACGCGAGCAGCCTGCCCAAGGTTTCGAGCCCTCCAAGGATCAACATGCCTTGCAGGTTTCGAAGGGGTGTGGACCGAGTCAGTTGGAGAGACTGAATTCGAAGAGTAGCTTAGTAGTCAAAGTCAAAGGAGTCCTGGACAAGCGCTCAGCAAGTCAAGTGGGCGACCCAGAGTGGGTCGATGCGTTGGGTCGATGCTTGGTCGAGGCACCGAAAGCGAGAACGCACGAGCCTATCCACCACGTGAATGGCAGCATGAGCCAGTGTGTCCGACTACCCGACAACTCTGTTGCAGCACTTTTTCGTAGCCAGAACCGCATGGCTGCGCTTTCGATAGATCCCAGAAAATTTTCAGGATTGGTTTAAGGGAACATGTAGAGAACCGAAACCATAGTTTTGGAGGTGACCGAAACCCAAGAGACGATGTATATCTCCTACCTCACCTTGTTTTCAGGGCGCCCAGCAGGATTCGTTCCTCTCCGGTCAAATGGACGGTTCCTCTCCTCGCCTGCGCGTGGGGGCAGCCCACCCCTCAAAGATCGGGTCCAAGCTGTGAACTCAAAAACCGCTTGGACTGTAGATGAATTCAGACCGGGCATGACCTGATCCAAACTGGATGTTAAAACACCCGTGTGAAAGCATGTTAAAGCAATCCAGGGATAACAAACCCGACGGTCCTGGGTCTTCCGCCATTGGGAGATCCTGCCGCACCTTCTTGCCAGTTGTGGCTCTTGAAAGATCCACCGCCAGGCGCGTTACTTGGCGTTTTTGGTGGCAATTTCGGTTTGGATCACCTGCTTTCGTTGGTGTTCAGGTGGAACAAGGATGGGGATGGTTGTGCTTCCTGTAATAGTGCAGCTGTGGTTAATTTGACGCTGCTGTGGCTACCATCGTTGTGCTTATAACTAGCGGTTGCGATTACAAGTGTGGCAGTTGGGTCGGTGGTTTTGTGCTTGTGGATTTGTCATTTTGGTCCGGACATTCTTTGGAGTGGTGAAAGCAGCCGCACGAAGAGCAAATGTAAGTTTGGGCTCACTTCGTTTTTTGTGTCTGAACCCCCATTGCTTCAAGAAGACTAGGTCCGAGGTCTCTTCATTCCAGTGAAACCATGGAGGGGTCTTTGGCGCCCAATCCCTCACGAACCGCTCTAAACGTGTGTGCACCATCTAAACTTCACCCAGTCTTTAGGACATCGACCGAGTCGTTATGCCGCCTGGGATCCAGACTCACACAGTGTGGAGGAGAGAAGCCCATATTAGTGGACCCGAAGGAGGTGGGCAGAAAGATGCAACGCAACGTGTTTTTTTGTGCTGCCCAAGCTTTCTACACACCACAGAGTGGATATGATCTCCAAACAGGCCGTGTATAATATCTTTCTAGAGATTGCTTATTCTGAAGCATTCGACATACAGCAGAGTGACCCAAATAGGTCGAGGAAGAGTCTTGCGGTCTTGTGTCTTCATCCTTTTTCCGCAGCCAAACGGCCAAAAAAGCCTGCAGATTTAGCTAGGCCCCTGTGCAGGCAGGTTGTCTTGTCCGTTTCACAGTCACCTGCACTGCCACCATGCCGGGTCCAGCGGCCACTCTGATGACCCTTGGCGGTCGAGGAAGCGTAAGGAAGTGATGTCAAGGAACCAGGTCAATACGAGGCCAATGCCGAACCTAGCTGACATTGGCTTTTGTGTGTCCAAAGGCTCATTCTTTTGTATGTATATATATTATATATATATATATTGCAAATAAAGGATGTGTTGATTTCCTGTAGCTTAGCTGAGTAGACGCAGATTTGCATTGCAGCTTCGTTAGTGTAAATGCACTATACATTCATGTCCCCTGAGGATTGAAGATGCCTTACAGAAACTCGGCTGAGTTTTTGCCCGCGTCGCGCCCGCTTCGCCCCGCGGAGTGGCCGGCCGAATTGATCCGACGCTCCGAGGGCCATGGTTCGCAAAGATGGACGCGTTGGTGCCAAATATGAAAAGTCCAAAGGCGGACCTCCGGAGCCTCCGGCGGATCCGTTTCGTGGGACTTCGGTCGGATCTCGGGTGGGAGAGTCGTTTCATGACGTGTCACAGGGGGATGAATGACATGTCCGTTTCATCAAGTCGCCCACCTAGACACGGTATACTTATGCCGTGCTCCCGAAAGGAAGGGGATCAAAAGGAGGATGTTTACAGAAATAGCCAGAACTCGACGAAAAAGGAGTGGTGAACAATTCAATGCTCGTGGGTCCAACATCCGGTTTCTGCAGCATGTTTTGTTGTTTGTTTGCGTCTCATGCTTCTCTATTGGCTTTTTCGGTGGTCAAAGGCAGGTTGCATGTTCAGTTCCAGCTAGTACACCTTTCGGCCATGCGTTTCCTCTATCAAAGGATTCTTAGCCTTGGGTTTTTTGGAAGCTTTCCCACCATTCAACTCAGCTGGGCGAAGCTTCAGCCGCGAAGCTTCCAGGTTAAACCACTTCGGCGCTTCTCGTGACGCTGACCGCGCCGAGTTCGGCCAGGCATGATTCCCATGGGCAGTCACTCTTGCTTCGGCGACTTCCCCGATGACTACCTCCCCGAAGGTGTGAAGCAAAAGCTCCGCGATGCACAGCGAGCCAGGAGAGGTGAGCGTTCACTTTGTCTCAGAGAACTCGGGAAGTAACCCTAGCAAATGGATAGCAAGTGGATCCCTCGATTTCACACCAGCCCGCTGAGGTTAAGTTGGTTGTGTTGGACTCGATTGTACCTGTCATGCCACTGCTCCCGTCTGGCAGTAGCCAGTCAATGAACCCAGGGCCCAGGGGTGTCTTGTTCATTGGGAGGCATTGACGGGTGACGCGACCCCCAGCAATAGCGACCCGAGAAGAATCCAACGAGCATGTCCTCATCATCTTTCGACATCGACAGGGAGAGGCGTGATTGTCGATGCTGGAGCCTCCCACAGCCGGGCTGGTATAGAGAAGAAATGCCAGCTCTCCCAAGTCAGTCGATTTGGGATCTCGGCAAACCGTTTCAAGATGGGTGTGTATTTTCTAATTACCCCTGCGAGTTTCCTCTACAAAATCAGAGAGGGTACCCACCCACTGAATTGGAAGGGGTATGGTGTGTTAATCTCTAGGCTTGGTCCCTGAGGCCGTCTGCCGGTCGCCGCCGCCAGGACTGCACTGCTCCCGCGCATCCAGTCGGCGCCCACGTTCACCATGACGACGCGACCGGTCCAGGGCTTCAGTTGGAACCCTCACTTGCCGCCCGACGGCCCACCGCACGCTGGAGCGCGCAAGCGCCAGGTGGCTGCTGGCTGGTCGGGAGAAGAGGGGTCGACCCTCGCTGGTCGGAATGAGGGTGAAGTGACTGGATCCTGCAGACCAAAACGAAATTGAATGAGGAAGAGACATCCGAGAGGGCGGGTGGTTCCTGTTCAGCTCCAAGTGACATTTTAAAACTCAGCTGATGTTCTTATGATGTTCCTACTCATTGCAACCCATCAGCGAAACCTTCGGCAACTCACTTCAGGGTTTTGAAACCTGTGGAAAGGGTTCCACCAGATGCTGGTCAGGTGGTTCCTTCATCGCAGTTCCGCAACTTCTACGATCGTGGCGACCTGCCGTGCTGCATTTTACATGGCTCGGTGGGAGGGAAGATCACCTGGAAGGTGGACTTGGACAGGCGAGAAACCGTTGTTTCTTAGATTTTTTCTGCCTTTTCCGCTGCATTCTTAGGCAAACACCGCGTGGCTTTCGTTCAGGAGGTTCTTTTTTTCCCGTTTTCCCAGCCAGGTCCGGGTCTTTTCAGATTTCGTATTTCGGTCTTCCCGACCTCTTCCAGGTGAGGTGTGTTGTGAGGTCGTGACAGGAGGGCTCTTCGAGGAAAAACCACCCTTTTCTGCTGGAAAAAGACACCATGCAGGTGAATAGACACAGCTTTTTTTGAGGAAACACAGCTGGCAACTTGGCCTGTTGGTTTCGGCCAACATTTTTTGGGGCGTTTCCGGGCTGATCAGCCGACGGTAATTTGGTCACGTCCGACTGACATGAGTTGGGCTGGGCTCGTCTGTATGGTTCAGAAACGAACTGAGAAATTCAATTGCCCACCGCAGTTCTTTTTGTAGCCTGATGCTGAACGAGTGTTTGTTTATTTTTTTGTTCTTGATGATTTTGATCCAGAGCAGGAAGAGGTCTTGTGGCGATCAGACTGATGGCTTTTGGTTACATGTCTTGGGGGCCAAATCTGACGTAAAACGAGATAAAACCGAGTATAAAATGAGACCTGTGCATGGTTCCGGAGCAGCTCCCGTGGAACAGCCCATCCCTTCGGCTAGACCGAGGGAGACCGTTCCCCGCCACGCAGGCTGGACTACCATCACTTCCTGCCAATCTTCTTCGAAGGACTGCGAGAGAAGGAGGATCCCTATCGTTTCCTCGCGGTGACGGGCACCTATGACATGTTGGCACGAGGGGGCCCGAAGATCTTGCCCGTGGTGCCACAGTTGATTATCCCCATGAAGGTGGGATTCAACACCAAGGAGCCGCGAGGGTTGGGAAAGCAAAAGGGTGACGAAACCGAGACGCTTGAAAAGGATTTAACAAGTGGTACTAGTACTACATTGTGTGCATGAAGGAGGCGTATCTAGAAAGCTATACTGTCCGCAAATTGCGGATTGGATACCTAGAGCAGAGAGCACCATGTCATTTGGAAAAAACGAAACAATCATGGGCCGAGTTGGTACCCTCCAACACTAAAGGGCCACTCATGCGACTCCTTGGACTGTTGGAAGGCAGGTCAACTGCAACTCTATGGGCATGGGCATCCTTAAGGTCCTTCCCCATCGATCGTGGTGCCCAGGATCCTGCGATCATTTGCACCATTTTGAAGGTCTTGCAAACCTTGATCCTCAGCGGAGACATGATTGGTGAAGCGCTGGTGCCTCGGACCGTTCGGATCTCCGACCGTGTCACGACCCGGTGTCAGGGCCGTCGTTGAGAAGCGGCCGTCGTTTTGGAACGTCGTGACCAACGTCGTTGGATCACTCAGTATGTCATGGAGGGCTGAAATGAACAGATATATAGTATTATATAATATGGTATATATAATATATATTTTATAACAGAGTCCTGATGGCTGGGGCCGGAGGTGGCTGGTCGACGTCGGACCAAGAAATGTGATTGCAAACACGGGAAACAAGTTTGTGTTTTGGGTGAACTAAACCCCAGATTCCACCTGAAGAAGCAATTTTTCTAAGTTCAGTACTCAAGTTTTTGCCGCCACGGTACATTGATAACACGTGTGAATTTACCTGGCAGATACTGCTTCTGCTCTGGCTTGTCAAGTTGTCATTACTGACAAATGTAGACGCGTTTATGCCCATGCGATGGCTGGAAATGGTTTACGTTTAATTGATTTTGTTATCGTAGCTTCGTCCGGTTATCGTAGCTTCCTTCATTCAGGTTCCCTACTATCGCCAGATCCTCCCCACTTTCAGCCTCTACATTGAAAAGAACAAGAACTTGGGACACTTGATCGACTATGCGCAGCGGAAGCGCCTCAACTTGGGTGAGTTGATCCATGAGACCTTGGAAATTATGGAAGCCCATGGAGGCCGGGGAGGTCTCAACAAGCGCCGCTGTCCAAATGATGAGACGCACGTGTTGCACGATGGTTCTAGTGATGCCAGTGATGAACAAAGGATGCTAACTAGAGGTTCTACAGATCAGGTTCTTGTGCACAGGTTCATGCTGAGAGTCTGCGGTTGCTGGTCGTGCACATGCGCGCACAGAATGGACTCAGTTGATGATAGCGACGTGTGAACTTGACTTCCTATCTCTGATTGGTAACGCCATGAAACGCAGGTGAAGATGCATTCATCAACATCAAGTACATGATCCCAACATATGAGAGCTGCTCCAAGGCATGAGAGATAGCGTTTCACTAGAAGTCTGTGCGAGGACGGTGCCATGTCTTCCACTGACTGTCCGCACAAGGCCTACGTAGCGTCAACGCATACGCTCAGAGTGCGCAGGTTTCGTTGAAGTGCTTGAGGCAACGCAGAGACTCGTGGGACTCGTTTGGGTCCAAGATTTGGTCAAACGCCTCACCAAGCCTCACTAAGTCACTGGTTGCCTTGCAGCAAGTTGCTTGGTTTGAATGAACAAAATCCAATCGGCTTGCCTCAAGCCTCGCTGCCGATCAACAGCGGTCATCGATCCGGGCGACGTGGTCCGAGAGTCGGAGCGCATGGAATTGGAGTGGATGGGGATGTAGGAGACGAACATTCTAAAATGGCCTCTACCAGGATATTAGTTATTCCAGGATATTCCAGGGGGGTCTAAGGCAGGGACCATCTTCTAAACCCAATGTTTGAAGTTGACCACATCGCCTCTTTTTCATTTTTGACCCAGATTGAGTTTCTGGCTGCACCATCGCCAAAGCGATGGCCGGCCAGCTCGGCAGCTGTTTCACTCGACAGAACCTGTAGACAGTGGGGAAACCGTGCATCGAAGGCGACTAGGCCAGTTCTTTCACGACGTCGAAGGCTAACAGTACTAGCAAGGCACTTGTTACTAGAAGCGATGCACTTGTTACTAATAGCTTCTT